TTACTTTTGTTATGTTTGTCAAGTTTATACTTAGTGCACACAGTTATTTTTGGTTGTACATTGATCGGAATAAAATTCCCTAAACAGACATATGCATATAATACATGATATGGGGGAAGCATTACCAGTATAAACGGCTAAAGTCACCCACCTGCAACCCGTTTGGGACATAATACCATTTGATCGAAGTGGTCCACACCTTTCATGAACTTATTGTACAATGCAGCCTAGTGGTGAGAAAGAGAGCCTCATGGCGCGCAGTTTGAAACAAACCCAAAGTAAATCGGATAAAAATTGAATTTTATACAAATATTTTAAAAGAGGACATAACGTTATGTCCACTATGCGGTGGCGTTAGGCGAAACAGGACTCACCGGTGAGTCCGGTTAGCGCGAAAGTGTTAAATTAAACCCCGAGCATGTTAAGGGTTAATGAATCATTTTCTGCGTTCAGTGATGATGCGTCTGATACAAGTAGCATAGATGAACAGTGTTAGCGGCTTCCATGGTGGTGTTTTCCATAGATATTTTCAAGAATACCTAAATCTCTCCCTGAATGACGGACACACTTTGAGGCAAGCTGAATCTCTTCTTGTGTGGGACCATACAAAGCGATCTTTTCAAGACTACCTTACAAATTTATCTTTTCCTATAATCTTTTCAATACTATTTTATGCTTTACAAACTTGGCTACATACCACCTACAAGTACTAAAGCCAAGGGTGTACGTGAGGGGGTTTTAGCAAGCACACAGAATGAAGAAACAGGAAGCGAAAATTTATCTGTACCTGGTACAATGAGAGCAGAATCGCGTTGTGCACCATGGACTACTTTGTTGATTATTACTCGCTTCCAAAGTACTGAGTGTGTAATACAGTGTGTTACTGTGTAAATAGTGTGTTAAACTGTACATATTGTAATTTTTGTGAATTTTTAACAAGTAATATTGCGACAATAAACATTTATTGTGGACACATTACTGACACATGTATCACTGTTCCATGGGAACATTATGAACGTTATACTGTATACATATTGTAAAGGACACAAATTTGCATCATAAACGATAAAAAAAAAATAAGACCGCATTGGAAATACATAAAACAAATAATTGAAAATATATTTGTAGCAACACCCGGTGCTTGAATGGCCCGCGCTACCGTGTCTGGCTGATTCGTGCACGGGCAACCAGGCCCTGATGACATCACAGTGCACCGTGTCCACATCCCCATAACCAAAGTAAGTGGAATTTGGTATTTATTTTTACATAGACATGTTCAGGGAAGGAAATTTATAATTTTTTGAAAAAAAAAATAATTTTTTGGAAACACTTTATTTCATGCGCACCCGGGGAATGTCACAATAAACTCGGTGCAGCTAGCACGGTGGTTAATCGACTGAGCTACGACATGGTAAAAGAGTTGAAACCAGAAGTTGCACCTAACTTATTTGGATCCTGCAGCCTCTCTGAGACACAAACCAGGGTTTTACACAACTCCCCATTCACTCGAGCTATGTCAATCGGCCATTCTACCTCTTGGCAGCGTCTGGGATGATCTCGGTCGTAGGTTTGAATCCTCGTCACGGCCCTAGTGGATTTGTTCATTTGATACATCATGCTATTGTGATTTCTGTGTGTAATTTGTATGTTCTGCTTCTGCCATGCTGCCTACTGGGTTGGTGACACTTTTGTGTCACCACTGTTTTGTGTAGTTCTCTTGCAGGGTTTTGGTCTCTGCTGCTGCTTCATAATCAGCCCTTCTTCAGCTGTCTACTTCGATCATCCAGGAAGCGGTCTTCTTGTTTTTCACCTCCCATGTTAGCTAGCTGTGCTGGCCCAGCCTTTGGATGCAACATGGGCCGTGGCTCTCACTTCTGCTTCTTTCTTTTCTTTTCTTTCCTGAGGACATGGTTTCTCAGTTTTTGTTGGCTGCAAGTACTGCTTGTTGACCTGTAATTACCCAAGTGTAATTACTTGTGTAGTTACAGGATGAGAGATATACTCATGGTGTCCCATCTCCGCAGCACTGTCATACAACGCTTTGAAATTACGAACAGTTTTGGCCTCCACCACCTTCTCACCTAACTTGTTCCAACTGTCTACCACTCAATTTGTGAAAGGGAATTATCTTGTATTTCTCCAGTAGTTGTATTTCGTTAGTTTAAATCTATGAACTCATGTTCTCTGTACCTAATGCCTACCAGTCTCTGTACCAGTCTCTGTTCTCTGTACCAGTAATACCTACTAATTCCACTGATGTTACTGACATAATCCTTTCCCTTAAAACCAAGTCTAGTGCCCTTGAGGAGATACCAACTCTTATTTACAAAAAAGCCTCCAGATTTTTAGCTCCTGCCATTGCATTGCTCTTCAACAAGTCACTTGAACTCCAAACCTTTCCAGATATTCTAAAAAAAGCGAGAGTAACCCCAGTCCACAAATGTGGTGATCCCACTGATGTTAACAACTTCAGACCTATATCAATTCTGCCAAACTTGTCAAAAATATTTGAAAAACTAATCTATAAGCAGCTTTATTCTTATCTAGCCAAACTCAATATACTTAGCTCTTGTCAATATGGCTTCAGACCCCAAAAAAGCACTAACGATGCACTTATTAGTATGATTAACTTGACACATACAGCTCTTGATAAAAATGAGTTCCCTGTTGGGTTATTTGTAGACCTGCGTAAGGCTTTTGACACTGTTAACTACCAAAACCTTCTTCTTAAATTACAACATTATGGAGTCAGAGGTCACTCCCTGCTGTACATTAAGTCTTACCTTACTGACAGGCTCCAGTATGCTTCTGTGAATAATTCAGTTTCTCCCACCCTACCCATCAACATTGGTGTTCCCCAGGGCAGCATACTTGGCCCTCTCCTCTTTCTCATCTACATTAATGACCTTCCAAATGCCTCCCAACATCTCAAACCAATTCTATTTGCTGATGATACGACCTTCATTTACTCCAGTCCTGACCCCCTTGCTCTAAATGTCAGTGAATACTGAGCTAAATAAAGTCCATCACTGGCTAACTGCCAACAAACTCACCCTCAATATTGACAAAAGTTTCTATATTATGTTTGGCAATAAATCCTCAAATCAAATAAATCTCAGGATTAACAATACCCAAATTTGTAACAAAGTTGATGGCAAATTCCTTGGTGTTCTCATTGACCGCAAGCTGAATTTCCAGGGACACATTCTAAATATATCAAAAAAAGTTTCGAAAATTGTTGGCATTCTTTCTAAGATCAGATATTATGTACCTCGCCCTGCCCTGGTGACACTATTATTCTCTCATCTATCCTTATCTCAACTATGGTATTTATGCTTGGGGTTCTACTACCCAAAATCATTTATGTCCTCCTAATTACTCAACACAAAGCTGCTATTAGGACAATATCTCACTCTGGTCCCAGACATCACTCGGTACCCTTACTCAAATCTCCGAATATGTTAGATATTAAGTCACTGCACATCCTCTCATGTGTATTTTATATATATAAAACGCTGAACTGTAATGTCAGTCCTGACCTTAAAAGCTTCCTAAAAGGTTGCAACAGATCCCATGAGCACCACACCAGAAACAAATACCTATTTGATATTCCAAAAGTACGACTTAGTCAAACTAGAAATGCTTTACAAATCAAGGGACCTCGAATGTGGAATGACCTTCCCAATTATATTAAAGACTGTACCTCTCCCAACCAGTTTAAGATAAAAACTAAGTACTACCTAATTAACTTAATGTAACCTACCTAACCCCCAAAATGTCAACCCATGTCTTCTATTTTAAACAATGCTGTTTTGTTGACCAAATTGTATTTTTTTTTTCTGCCATGTTTCCCTCTCCTTTTTTTCCATTCTTTTCTTATTTTTTCTCAACACAATTTATACTTTAATCTCAATCAGTATTAAGTTTTAGTCTGTGTTTTTCCTGCCCAAAACGCTTTGCGTAATAGTGGCTTTAGGCATTTTTTGCACGTTTTGACATCCAGCCTCAGAACTGGGGTGTGGATCGCTGGCACGGTGGGTCTGGGGCTACCCCTTCCCCCCTCCCAGGGAGGGGGGAGCTGTGCAGACAGTGGCGCGATGACGCGTGACGTCATACTAGTTTGCGTGCTATTGTTGGGGGAGTTCTATCCACTCGTTCGGCTTTTGGTTGCAATTTTCACCAGAATTGGAGTTTGTTTTGGGACGCCTACCTTTCTGGGTGCCTAACCTGGTCGATGGCAGACATAGAATGCTTCCAATCACACGGGAGTTTCTATAGGCCATTGCTCCCCTTGCCTCTCTGAGGGGGCCAGGTTCTGGCTTGTGGTCCCCGGTAGGCCCATAAAAACTCCATACACATGACTGATGCCAAAGTCTAACATTAGCATATCAGCCTAGTAAGCTCCGGAGAGCCTCCGGGACTCACCCAAAAAATGGTGTTTCATTACATTCAACACTGGGTTTTTGTTGGGGGAGGGGGGGGTAATTTTTGTTTGTTTATTTAAGAATTAATGTGCAATTTTCAGAAATGCCCTTAAGAATTATTAGTATTTTATTAAAAAATATAAAAGGATTTTTTGAATCATCATATGATATATAAAGTGTCTCGTGTAACTATCGGCATACTTTCCAATTGGGTTTTTATATTTTTGTTGTAAATTGAAGGCAAAAATTAATTCAAATGCCATTGTTCATTTCAGTAACTTTTAAATACATTTTGCCCAAAACACTATGCGTATTAGTGGCTTTAGGTATTGTATATACTAGCTCTATCTATAAATCCAACAATATGTTTGTAACTCTGCATCTATGTATGTACTTTTCCTGAATAAAATATTGTTGTTATTATTATTATTATTACTACTATTATTATTATTATTATTGTTATTATTATTGTTATTAATATGAGATTGTTGCACCATATTTCATTAGTCTTTGATGAGTTCTTTACATGACACTACTTGCATATGTAACATTCAGTGAATATGGTGTTGATTTCAGGAGAATCACCATCTGCATCCACTCAGCTTAGTAAAGGAAGCATGGTGGGCAGTGTTCAGTCTCTTGATTCTACAAAGTTTACCTTCCTGCCTGATTATTCTGTTCGTGCCATTACAGAGGTAAGTTTTTTACTGATATGGTTTTATTAAGGCCAAAAAATTACAAGGCTGTTGCAAGTTCATTGGCACAAATTGTAGAAGTGCTCATGTCCATGGTCATACAGATGTATACAAAAGTTTATAAATGTTGTGTTCTTTACCGACGTAAAAAAATCCTGAATGTTAAACTATACCTTAAATCTTTGTGAATAATTCATATCATCCTGTAGCACAAGGCATCATATGAAGCTTTTGATACATAGTGGAATGTAGGATTGATTAAGAGATAATTGAGGCTGTTATGTAGTTGAGAAAATATTACACAATTTCAGTGAATGCCATGAAATTTCTGATAAACTAATGTGAGATTATCCCCTATGAGGTGAATAGGTTACAAGTATTTATTGACCAGATGGGCACTTCGTGGTACTATCATTGATAATTTCCCAGCACCACGTAAGGTACCAGATGTGATGTTATCCCAATCTTAATACAAGTGACCCCAGTCAGAAAGGACTGCACTAGCATCAAAACAAATGCCATAATGACAGCTGATTACTTTAAGACTGCACAAGGATGCATAGAGCAACTGCAGGAGTCCAAATCCTTGGCACCCCCTATCCACTAGGTCGTGGAGCTTATGTAACTACTGAGGGTAGTTGTCAAAGCAACTCGTTGAAGTCTCACACCAAATACTTATAGGTTTGATGAGTATGGCTATGAAATAGTTCGAGTCAAGTATCCAAAGCAACAGGACGTGTCACTTTCAAGGGCAATGGCAGAGTCAGAACAGGTTACAAAGGGTCTTAGAAGGTATGAACTTAAAGGAACTTGTAGTTCATCAATTAACAGTTTATTCATAAAATTTAATACTAGTGATACATAGCAAGAATAGTTTAACGTTATGTTAATGTCCTTTGTGGCGCTTGACAAAGCTACTAGGCTAGCCGGAAGACCTGGGCTTTCGGTTCGGACCGCTCGCGGTACTAACGCTAACTACACTTAACAAAAGTGGGCGACCACTCCAGACGCAAATTAGCAGTTCATCACGACTGCGGCAAGCAATAATAATGGCACAATAAATGACAACAGATAGACCTGTCACTGAGACCAGTCTTCCGTGCGACACTCGATTAGTTACGTTATAACACAAGGACAAACAGATGACAATTTACGAAGTGAATTTCAATCAAAACACTCAGATATATACGTTTCTTAGTAAATCCAATTACGTTAATGTCTTTCGAACATCCAAATCAAAACAAGGTAAACTACATTAATAACAAATCCATAAGGGCCGTGACGAGGATTCGAACCTGCGTCCGGGAGCATCCCAGACACTGCCTTAATCGACTGAGCTACGACAGGGTAAAAAGAGTTAAAACCGAAGTTCTACTGAACTTATTGGATCCCGTAGCCTCTCCGAGGCACAAACCAGGATTTTGCCTTGGAGAGGCTACGGGATCCAGTAAGTTCAGTATAACTTCTGTTTCAACTCTTTTTACCCTGTCGTAGCTCAGTCGATTAAGGCAGTGTCTGGGATGCTCCCGGACGCAGGTTCGAATCCTCGTCACGGCCCTTGTTCCTTTGTTCATTTGATGCATCACGTTAGTGTAATCTCTGTGTGTACATTAATAACACTGTCAACACAGACAGTCAAGCAAATCAAAACAAGTCAATGAAGTCAACAACTGCTTACGGATAATTAGCAATCCCTGAGTAACCGCTCAAAGCCCTGTCAGTATTGACAGCTCACTTAACTCAGAGAATTGTTAACATTCGGCGATCACTGAGACTGCTTGACAAACACTGATTAGTCAACATGATTGCTAATCACCACATACTGATCAGACGATAATCAATTACGTTAAATCAATCCACTGACTTCATGAATAATGAACACTAAGTCACACTGATTTCTCCAAATAATGAACACTAAGTTACACTGACTTATCACAACAATGAACACAGAGTCCAACAACACTGGGTCACGTAGGCTAACGCAAATGGTACACAGTAATGAACACAGTCAAACAAATCCAGGTAACATAGACCAACACAATACAGTACACACTACAGTGTGTAACCACAGCACTGAACACCACAATACACTGACACTCGTGTCAATAAAAGAAATAGTAATAAAACACAATATCCTTACTTTTTAATTACTGCATGTCCCCTGGAAGTAAAGAACAAGGACATGGACATGGTTAAACACACAGTGATGGTATAATATTGAAACCACACTAAAAACAATAAAACACACTCAATGGACACAGTTGCTAAATGTGCAATTAATGTAATGTAAGATGACAATCACACTTAACCATCGTGCTGTACCAAGTTTACTGTAAATTACCCCAGTGCGCATGAAATAAAGTGCTCCCAAAAAATTCTTTTTTCCTCGCAAAATGATAAATTCCTTTCCCTGAACATGTCTATGTAAAAATAAATACCAGATTCCACTTACTTTGATTGTGGGAACGTGGACAAGTTGTGCTGTGACGTCATCAGGGCCTGGTCGCCCGTGCATGACTCGCCCAGAAACGGTCGCATGGGCCATTCAAGCACCGGGTGTTGCCACAAATATATTTTCAATTATTTGTTCTATGTACAATGGGGCCTCGACTTACGATGCTAATCCGTTACCCGAGACGGATCGTAAGTCGAAGCGATTTTTCCCATAAGAAATAAAGGGAATTGAATTAATCCGTTCCCCACCCTCCAAAATATTAACATACAAATACATTTTATACTGAATACAATGTTTTTTTCTAACTACCATACAGTACCAAAGTTTCTCTTACCTTTATGGAGGGCTCTTGATGGCGTATAGAAGATGGTGATGAGGGGGAGGAGGAGAGTTGTTACTGTTTGGAAGGGGAGTCCCCTACCATTATCACATCAGGCAGTGATGTTTTCTCTGGGGTACTCTCTCTCTCCTACGTTTTGCCTGAATACCACTAGGACCTGGTTGTGGTTCAGTGCTTGTTTGTCTCACTACAAATATATCAAGAGACATTTGTTTTTCCCTTCGTTTTAACATTGTCTGTAATGATGCATTACAGTGTCATTGAATAGGTTAAGGCAACGACCTACTGCAGCTTGATTTGGGCGAGTCGTTTCAGCAAAGGTTTGCATTTCTTCCCATGCTGCACACATTTTCTTAATTGTTGAGGAAGAGACAGTCTGTACTCTTGTTTCTGCTCTATGATCATCCTTACATGGGTTTTTATATCCTGAGCCTTACCACTGACTTTCCTGGAACTCATGGCGTGATATATAATAATTACTTTAATGTTCAAAATGCAAAAAATCACCACAAAAGCGGAATTTCTTATAGGTGCGATCGTCACTAAGTGGGCAGCTGTAGTAAACCGAGGCAGGTCGGTTACGTGACCGGGAACCACGCGCTTGGTCGACCCGAACGTGTACCAACAAATATCGGAAGTCGACGACACCATCAGATGTCGAGTCGCATTTTTCGATGAAATTTACATCCTAACTCGAAATTATCGTAAGTAGGGGCAATCGTATGTCGAGGTGCCAATGTATTTCCAATGCGGTTTTATTTTATTTTTTTTTATCGTATATGATACATATTTGTGTCCTTTACAATATGTATACAGTAGGACATTCATAATGTTCCATGGAACTGTGATACATGTCAGTAATGTGTCCACAATGAATGTTTATTGTCACAATATTACTTATTAAAAATTTACTAAAATTATAATATGTACAGTTTCACACACTATTTACACAGTAACACACTGTATTACACACTCAGTACTTTGGAACTGAGTAATAATCAGCGAAGTATTCCATGGTGCACAACGCGACTTCACTCTCGGTGCACCAGGTACAGATAAATTTTCACTTCCTGTTTCTTCATTCTGTATGCTTGCAAATAACACACTCACGTACACCCTTGGTTTTAGTACTTGTAGGTTGTATGTAGCCAAGCTTGTAAAGCATAAGGTAGTATTGAAAAGATTATAGGAAAAGATCAATTTGTAAGGTAGTCTTGAAAAGATCAATTTGTTAGGTCCCACACAGGAAGAGATTCAGCTTGCCTCAAAGAGTGTCCATCAGTCAGGAAAGAGATTCAGCAAGCCACAAAGAGTGTCCATCAGTCAGGAAGAGATTCAGGTATTGAAAATATCTATGGAAAACACCACCATGGAAGCCGCTAACACTGTTCATCTATACTACTTGTATCAGATGCATCATCACTGAACGTAGAAAATGATTCATCTACGTATCATCTAAATAAATTGAGGATAGCACAGGATTGCAAGGGTGACGCTCAGAGCTACAACTGGATACGCTCGCTGTATTGTCCTCATAGGTGCTGTATCACTTGCATCCGATCTTTGTGTTAGGTCCTTATTGCACCTAGCTTCACCAATATTATGACCCTTATGTTCTTCAAACAAGGTTTTAATTTCACCGACAGAGCGTTATCTTTCAACACCATGTCAGATAGGCGTTTGGGAGCCAGAGCCGTGTTGGCCACCCATGGTTGCTCACTCAGTACTAACTCAGCCAGCATCTCTAAGACATTCTGGGAATTTTTTCCGAGATGGCTGCCTCTCACTGGAGGTTCTAAGAGTCCATTTCATACACAACCAACCTCGCATACATTTAGAATGGGTACGGAAAAATCAAAAAGAGTTTTCTTGGTTAGCGCAGTTTCCTGCCGACCCATAATACTTGGTTGGCGCAGTTAAGTGGTTAAGGTCCAGCTACAGTAACCACACAGACTAGCTGTAGTAGGCCTATACCTATCGTGCTTCCTCAGGAATCGAACTCCTTCCCGTATAGGGATTATGAAGAACGAACACTGATTGGCTGACTGGGTCAACACAAGAAATTTGGTACGCACGAATGATACAGAGAAACAATGGTTTGAGTACTCGCGTTAAATACTGGTAATGATACACACTCGTGTTAGCATTCACACTCGCTAATTCCTCGGCTGTTGATTGAAGCTCGAGGTGGCGAAGTGAGGTGAG